ATTCAGGTGAGACATGCACACCGTGACCATGTCCATTCAGGTGAGACAAACTCATGCACACCTTGACCATGTCCATTCAGGTGAGACATGCACACCTTGACCATGTCTATTCAGGTGAGACATGCACACCTTGACCATGTCCATTCAGGTGAGACAAACTCATGCACACCTTGACCATGTCCATTCAGGTGAGACAAACTCATGCACACCTTGACCATGTCCATTCAGGTGAGACATGCACACCTTGACCATGTACATTCAGGTGAGACAAACTTATGCACACCTTGACCATGTCCATTCAGGTGAGACAAACTGATGCACACCTTGACCATGTCCATTCAGGTGAGACATGCACACCTTGACCATGTCCATTCAGGTGAGACATGCACACCTTGACCATGTCCATTCAGGTGAGACATGCACACCGTGACCATGTCCATTCAGGTGAGACAAACTCATGCACACCTAGACCATGTCCATTCAGGTGAGACATGCACACCTTGACCATGTCTATTCAGGTGAGACATGCACACCTTGACCATGTCCATTCAGGTGAGACAAACTCATGCACACCTTGACCATGTCCATTCAGGTGAGACAAACTCATGCACATCTTGACCATGTCCATTCAGGTGAGACATGCACACCTTGACCATGTCCATTCAGGTGAGACAAACTCATGCACAACTTGACCATGTCCATTCAGGTGAGACAAACTCATGCACACCTTGACCATGTCCATTCAGGTGAGACATGCACACCTTCACCATGTCCATTCAGGTGAGACATGCACATCTTGACCATGTCCATTCAGGTGAGACAAACTCATGCACACCTTGACCATGTCCATTCAGGTGAGACATGCACACCTTGACCATGTCCATTCAGGTGAGACATGCACATCTTGACCATGTCCATTCAGGTGAGACAAACTCATGCACACCTTGACCATGTCCATTCAGGTGAGACAAACTCATGCACACCTTGACCATGTCCATTCAGGTGAGACATGCACACCTTGACCATGTCCATTCAGGTGAGACATGCACATCTTGACCATGTTCATTCAGGTGAGACATGCACACCTTGACCATGTCCATTCAGGTGAGACATGCACACCTTGACCATGTCCATTCAGGTGAGACAAACTCATGCACACCTTGACCATGTCCATTCAGGTGAGACATGCACACCGTGACCATGTCCATTCAGGTGAGACAAACTCATGCACACCTTGACCATGTCCATTCAGGTGAGACATGCACACCTTGACCATGTCTATTCAGGTGAGACATGCACACCTTGACCATGTCCATTCAGGTGAGACAAACTCATGCACACCTTGACCATGTCCATTCAGGTGAGACAAACTCATGCACACCTTGACCATGTCCATTCAGGTGAGACATGCACACCTTGACCATGTCCATTCAGGTGAGACAAACTCATGCACACCTTGACCATGTCCATTCAGGTGAGACAAACTCATGCACACCTTGACCATGTCCATTCAGGTGAGACATGCACACCTTGACCATGTCCATTCAGGTGAGACATGCACATCTTGACCATGTCCATTCAGGTGAGACAAACTCATGCACACCTTGACCATGTCCATTCAGGTGAGACATGCACACCTTGACCATGTCCATTCAGGTGAGACATGCACATCTTGACCATGTCCATTCAGGTGAGACAAACTCATGCACACCTTGACCATGTCCATTCAGGCTAGACAAACTCATGCACACCTTGACCATGTCCATTCAGGTGAGACAAACTCATGCACACCTTGACCATGTCCATTCAGGTGAGACATGCACACCTTGACCATGTCCATTCAGGTGAGACAAACTCATGCACACCTTGACCATGTCCATTCAGGTGAGACATGCACACCTTGACCATGTCCATTCAGGTGAGACATGCACATCTTGACCATGTCCATTCAGGTGAGACATGCACACCTTGTCCATGTCCATTCAGGTGAGACATGCACACCTTGACCATGTCCATTCATGTGAGACAAACTCATGCACACCTTGACCATGTCCATTCAGGTGAGACATGCACACCTTGACCATGTCCATTCAGGTGAGACATGCACACCGTGACCATGTCCATTCAGGTGAGACAAACTCATGCACACCTTGACCATGTCCATTCAGGTGAGACATGCACACCTTGACCATGTCTATTCAGGTGAGACATGCACACCTTGACCATGTCCATTCAGGTGAGACAAACTCATGCACACCTTGACCATGTCCATTCAGGTGAGACAAACTCATGCACACCTTGACCATGTCCATTCAGGTGAGACATGCACACCTTGACCATGTCCATTCAGGTGAGACAAACTCATGCACACCTTGACCATGTCCATTCAGGTGAGACATGCACACCTTGACCATGTCCATTCAGGTGAGACAAACTCATGCACACCTTGACCATGTCCATTCAGGTGAGACATGCACACCTTGACCATGTCCATTCAGGTGAGACATGCACACCTTGACCATGTCCATTCAGGTGAGACAAACTCATGCACACCTTGACCATGTCCATTCAGGTGAGACATGCACATCTTGACCATGTCCATTCAGGTGAGACAAACTCATGCACACCTTGACCATGTCCATTCAGGTGAGACAAACTCATGCACACCTTGACCATGTCCATTCAGGTGAGACAAACTCATGCACACCTTGACCATGTCCATTCAGGTGAGACATGCACACCTTGACCATGTCCATTCAGGTGAGACAAACTCATGCACACCTTGACCATGTCCATTCAGGTGAGACATGCACACCTTGACCATGTCCATTCAGGTGAGACATGCACACCGTGACCATGTCCATTCAGGTGAGACAAACTCATGCACACCTTGACCATGTCCATTCAGGTGAGACATGCACACCTTGACCATGTCTATTCAGGTGAGACATGCACACCTTGACCATGTCCATTCAGGTGAGACAAACTCATGCACACCTTGACCATGTCCATTCAGGTGAGACAAACTCATGCACACCTTGACCATGTCCATTCAGGTGAGACATGCACACCATGACCATGTACATTCAGGTGAGACAAACTTATGCACACCTTGACCATGTCCATTCAGGTGAGACAAACTGATGCACACCTTGACCATGTCCATTCAGGTGAGACATGCACACCTTGACCATGTCCATTCAGGTGAGACATGCACACCTTGACCATGTCCATTCAGGTGAGACATGCACACCGTGACCATGTCCATTCAGGTGAGACAAACTCATGCACACCTAGACCATGTCCATTCAGGTGAGACATGCACACCTTGACCATGTCTATTCAGGTGAGACATGCACACCTTGACCATGTCCATTCAGGTGAGACAAACTCATGCACACCTTGACCATGTCCATTCAGGTGAGACAAACTCATGCACATCTTGACCATGTCCATTCAGGTGAGACATGCACACCTTGACCATGTCCATTCAGGTGAGACAAACTCATGCACACCTTGACCATGTCCATTCAGGTGAGACAAACTCATGCACACCTTGACCATGTCCATTCAGGTGAGACATGCACACCTTCACCATGTCCATTCAGGTGAGACATGCACATCTTGACCATGTCCATTCAGGTGAGACAAACTCATGCACACCTTGACCATGTCCATTCAGGTGAGACATGCACACCTTGACCATGTCCATTCAGGTGAGACATGCACATCTTGACCATGTCCATTCAGGTGAGACAAACTCATGCACACCTTGACCATGTCCATTCAGGTGAGACAAACTCATGCACACCTTGACCATGTCCATTCAGGTGAGACATGCACACCTTGACCATGTCCATTCAGGTGAGACATGCACATCTTGACCATGTCCATTCAGGTGAGACATGCACACCTTGACCATGTCCATTCAGGTGAGACATGCACACCTTGACCATGTCCATTCAGGTGAGACAAACTCATGCACACCTTGACCATGTCCATTCAGGTGAGACATGCACACCGTGACCATGTCCATTCAGGTGAGACAAACTCATGCACACCTTGACCATGTCCATTCAGGTGAGACATGCACACCTTGACCATGTCTATTCAGGTGAGACATGCACACCTTGACCATGTCCATTCAGGTGAGACAAACTCATGCACACCTTGACCATGTCCATTCAGGTGAGACAAACTCATGCACACCTTGACCATGTCCATTCAGGTGAGACATGCACACCTTGACCATGTCCATTCAGGTGAGACAAACTCATGCACACCTTGACCATGTCCATTCAGGTGAGACAAACTCATGCACACCTTGACCATGTCCATTCAGGTGAGACATGCACACCTTGACCATGTCCATTCAGGTGAGACATGCACATCTTGACCATGTCCATTCAGGTGAGACAAACTCATGCACACCTTGACCATGTCCATTCAGGTGAGACATGCACACCTTGACCATGTCCATTCAGGTGAGACAAACTCATGTCCCAGAACTAGCACCCCCCCTATGTTCCAGAACTAACCCCCCGCCCCTTATGTTCCAGAACTAACCCCCCCCCCTCCCCCTTATGTTTTAGAACTAACCCCCCCCCCTAATGTTCCAGAACTAACCCCTCCCTCCCCTTATGTTCCAGAACTAACCCACCCCTTATGTTCAAGAACTAACCCCCCTTATGTTCCAGAACTAACCCCCCGCCCCTTATGTTCCAGAACTAACCCCCCTCCCCCTTATGTTTTAGAACTAACCCCCCCCCCCCCCCCCTAATGTTCCAGAACTAACCCCTCCCTCCCCTTATGTTCCAGAACTAACCCACCCCTTATGTTCCAGAACTAACCCCCCCTTATGTTCCAGAACTAACCCCCCCTTATGTTCCAGAACTAACCCCCCCCCCTTATGTTCCAGAACTAACCCCCCACCCCCTTATGTTCCAGAACTAACCCCCCCCCTTATGTTCCAGAACTAACCCCCCCCCCTTATGTTCCAGAACTACGCCATCGAGGCCTCCCACAAGTCCCAGCAGCTGATCATAGAGAAACAGCGCTCAGACAGTCTGCTGTACCAGATGTTGCCCAAGTCCGTGGCCCAGCAGCTCAAGATGCACACCTCAGTCAACGCCGAGTATTATGAGCAGGTAGGACGGGGGGGGGGGGCGTCCCTGAGGACGTCCCTGAGTCCACCCAGCTCTGATGGGTACCTGACTGTAGGGCGTCCCTGAGTCCACCCAGCTCTGATGGGTACCTGACTCATGATGGGGAATAATAGGCGGCTGGGTGTAAAAAAAAATCGCTTCGAGGGTGGCGTAGGTGGGGCACCCAGAGTAGGACCACCGCCGCCCTCCCCAGATGAAAATAAGAGAACATTTTCAATACACTATATATATATATATATATATATATATATATATATATATATATATATATATATATATATATATATATATATATATATATATATATATATATATATATATATATATATATACTGCAAGCCGATCCCACTCCCCAAAAGTTTTAACCCCCCCCCCCCCATAAATTGTAACTGCCTTAATAATGCCCGAAAGAAACCCAGTTCATGAGTCCACTAACAGTGGAGATGGCAAAACTCCACCTAACACAAGGAAACAAGGCATTCGCTCCACTCACTACTTAAAAGAACACAAGTGGTTAGACCCCCTGCAATTTTGATTATAACATTGTGTGTAAGATAAAGTGAGGTGTGTGATTGTACACCTATACAAATGTCATGGCGTGTAAGATACTGTGAGATGTGTAAGGTGTGTGAAATGTGTGAGGTGTGTGAGATGTGTTAGGTGTGTGAGGTGTGTAAGATACTGTGAAATGTGTGAGGTGTGTGAGATGTGTGAGATGTGTTAGGTGTGTGAGGTGTGTGAGATGTGTAAGGTGTGTGAGAAGTGTAAGGTGTGTGAGATGTGTAAGGTGTGTGAGGTGTGTGAGATGTGTTAGGTGTGTGAGGTGTGTGAGATGTGTTAGGTGTGTGAGGTGTGTAAGATACTGTGAGGTGTGTGAGGTGTGTGAGGTGTGTGAGGTGTGTGAGGTGTGTAAGATACTGTGAGATGTGTGAGGTGTGTGAGGTGTGTGAGGTGTGTGAGGTGTGTAAGGTGTGTGAGATGTGTGAGGTGTGTGAGATGTGTGAGATGTGTTAGGTGTGTGAGGTGTGTGAGGTGTGTAAGATACTGTGAGATGTGTGAGGTGTGTGAGGTGTGTAAGATACTGTGAGGTGTGTGAGATGTGTGAGGTGTGTGAGGTGTGTAAGATACTGTGAGATGTGTGAGGTGTGTGAGGTGTGTGAGATGTGTGAGATGTGTGAGATGTGTTAGGTGTGTGAGGTGTGTGAGGTGTGTGAGGTGTGTAAGGTGTGTAAGGTGTGTGAAATGTGTAAGGTGTGTAAGGTGTGTAATTTTACACCTGTGTAGGTCTGTAAGTTTTTTCTCTTGGACCGTCAGGTGACCTTGTTCTTCAGTGACATCGTCAGCTTCACTGAGATCTCTGCTGCCAGCACCCCCCTACAGGTGGGTATCACGTGATCTTTTGTTTACACATGACCCCTCTAAAGATAGGTATCACGTGATGTTGTATTTACAGTTTATAGTTGTTTTGTTTATAGTTATGTAAATAGTAGTGTGTTATAATTTATCTAAAGAAAATCCATTTGTTTTCTCCTTTTTAGTGCATTATTACATCATAGCTTGTTGTTAAAATGTTGTTTATGGATTTTTGTTTTTAAATCTGAAGAAAGTCAAAGCGATCTAAGTAGTGTTCTCTTTCCAATGATGCTGACAATCTCTTTACCAAACAGATGGTGACGTTTTACTTGACCTGAAACCTTACTTGTGGTGACTTGTGGTGACATGTGGTGACATGTGGTGACATGTGGTGACATGTGGTGACTTGTGGTGACTTGTGGTGACATGTGGTGACATGTGGTGACTTTTCCTTCTACAGGTGGTGATCCTACTGAACAAGCTGTACCAAATCTTTGACGACATACTTGACCACTATGACGTGTACAAGGTGGAAACCATTGGGGATGCTTACATGGTGGTCAGCGGGCTACCTAACAGGTGGGTCAGTGGGCTACCTAACAGGTGGGTCAGTGGGTCAGTGGGTCAGTGGGCTACCTAACAGGTGGGTCAGTGGGCTACCTAACAGGTGGGTCAGTGGGTCAGTGGGTCAGTGGGTCAGTGGGCTACCTAACAGGTGGGTCAGTGGGTCAGTGGGTCAGTGGGTCAGTGGGTCAGTGGGTCAGTGGGTCAGTGGGTCAGTGGGCTACCTAACAGGTGGGTCAGTGGGCTACCTAACAGGTGGGTCAGTGGGTCAGTGGTCCAGTGGGTCAGTGGGTCAGTGGGCTACCTAACAGGTGGGTCAGTGGGTCAGTGGGTCAGTGGGCTACCTAACAGGTGGGTCAGTGGGCTACCTAACAGGTGGGTCAGTGGGCTACCTAACAGGTGGGTCAGTGGGCTACCTAACAGGTGGGTCAGTGGGTCAGTGGGTCAGTGGGTCAGTGGGTCAGTGGGCTACCTAACAGGTGGGTCAGTGGGTCAGTGGGCTACCTAACAGGTGGGTCAGTGGGTCAGTGGGCTACCTAACAGGTGGGTCAGTGGGTCAGTGGGCTACCTAACAGGTGGGTCAGTGGGTCATTGGGTCAGCGGGCTACCTAACAGGTGGGTCAGTGGGCTACCTAACAGGTGGGTCAGTGGGTCAGTGGGCTACCTAACAGGTGGGTCAGTGGGTCATTGGGTCAGCGGGCTACCTAACAGGTGGGTCAGTGGGTCAGTGGGTCAGCGGGCTACCTAACAGGTGGGTCAGTGAGTCAGTGGGCTAGCTAACAGGTGGGTTAAAAGGCTACATAACAGGTGGGTCAGTGGGCTACCTAACAGGTGGGTCAGTGGGTCAGTGGGCTACCTAACAGGTGGGTCAGTGGGTCATTGGGTCAGCGGGCTACCTAACAGGTGGGTCAGTGGGTCAGTGGGTCAGCGGGCTACCTAACAGGTGGGTCAGTGGGTCAGTGGGCTAGCTAACAGGTGGGTTAAAAGGCTACCTAACAGGTGGGTCAGTGGGCTACCTAACAGGTGGGTCAGTGGGTCAGTGGGCTACCTAACAGGTGGGTCAGTGGGTCAGTGGGCTACCTAACAGGTGGGTCAGTGGGTCAGTGGGCTACCTAACAGGTGGCTAAGTGGGTCAGTGGGCTACCTTACAGGTGGGTCAGTGGGTCAGTGGGCTACCTAACAGGTGGGTCAGTGGGTCAGTGGGCTACCTAACAGGTGGGTCAGTGGGCTACCTAACAGGTGGGTCAGTGGGCTACCTAACAGGTAGGTCAGTGGGCTACCTAACAGGTGGGTCAGTGGGCTACCTAACAGGTGGGTCAGTGGGCTACCTAACAGGTTGGTCAGTGGGTCAGTGGGCTACCCAACAGGTGGGTCAGCGGGCTACCTAACAGGTGGGTCAGTGGGTCAGTGGGTCAGCGGGCTACCTAACAGGTGGGTCAGTGGGTCAGTGGGCTAGCTAACAGGTGGTTTAAAAGGCTACCTAACAGGTGGGTCAGTGGGCTACCTAACAGGTGGGTCAGTGGGTCAGTGGGCTACCTAACAGGTGGGTCAGTGGGTCAGTGGGCTACCTAACAGGTGGGTCAGTGGGTCAGTGGGCTACCTAACAGGTGGCTCAGTGGGTCAGTGGGCTACCTTACAGGTGGGTCAGTGGGTCAGTGGGCTACCTAACAGGTGGGTCAGTGGGTCAGTGGGCTACCTAACAGGTGGGTCAGTGGGCTACCTAACAGGTGGGTCAGTGGGCTACCTAACAGGTGGGTCAGTGGGCTACCTAACAGGTGGGTCAGTGGGCTACCTAACAGGTTGGTCAGTGGGTCAGTAGGCTACCTAAAAGGTGGGTCAGTGGGTCAGTGGGCTACCTAACAGGTGGGTCAGTGGGCTATCTAACAGGTGGGTCAGTGGGCTACCTAACAGGTGGGTCAGTGGGCTACCTAACAGGTTGGTCAGTGGGTCAGTGGGCTACCCAACAGGTGGGTCAGTGGGCTACCTAACAGGTGGGTCAGTGGGTCAGTTGGCTACCTAACAGGTTGGTCAGTGGGTCAGTAGGCTACCTAACAGGTGGGTCAGTGGGCTACCTAACAGGTAGGTCAGTGGGCTACCTAACAGATGGGTCAGTAGGCTACCTAAAAGGTGGGTCAGTGGGCTACCTAACAGGTGGGTCAGTGGGCTATCTAACAGGTGGGTCAGTGGGCTACCCAACAGGTGGGTCAGTGGGCTACCTTACAGGTGGGTCAGTGGGTCGGTGGGCTACCTAACAGGTGGGTCAGTGGGTTAGTGGGCTACCTAACAGGTGGGTCAGTGGGCTACCTAACAGGTGGGTCAGTGGGTCAATGGGCTACTTAACAGGTGGGTCAGTGAGCTACCTAACAGGTGGGTCAGTGGGTCAATGGGCTACTTAACAGGTGGGTCAGTGAGCTACCTAACAGGTGGGTCAGTGGGTCAATGGGCTACCTAACAGGTGGGTCAGTGGGCTACCTAACAGGTGGGTCAGTGGGCTACCTAACAGGTGGGTCAGTGGGTCAGTGGGCTACCTAACAGGTGGGTCAGTGGGCTACCCAACAGGTGGGTCAGTGGACTACCTAACAGGTGGGTTAGTGGGTCAGTGGGCTACCTAACAGGTGGGTTAGTGGGTCGGTGGGCTACCTAACAGGTGGGTCAGTGGGTTAGTGGGCTACCTAACAGGTGGGTTAGTGGGCTATCTAACAGGTGGGTCAGTGGGCTACCCAACAGGTGGGTTAGTGGGCTACCTAACAGGTGGGTTTGTGGGCTATCTAACAGGTGGGTTAGTGGGCTATCTAACAGGTGGGTCAGTGGGCTACCTAACAGGTGGGTCAGTGGGCTATCTAACAGGTGGGTCAGTGGGCTACCTAACAGGTGGGTTAGTGGGCTACCTAACAGGTGGGTTAGTAGGCTATCTAACAGGTGGGTCAGTGGGCTACCCAACAGGTGGGTCAGTGGGCTACCTAACAGGTGGGTCAGTGGGTCGGTGGGCTACCTAACAGGTGAGTCAGTGGGTCAGTGGGCTACCTAACAGGTGAGTCAGTGGGTCAGTGGGCTACCTAACAGGTGGGTTAGTGGGCTATCTAACAGGTGGGTCAGTGGGCTACCCAACAGGTGGGTCAGTGGGCTACCTAACAGGTGGGTCAGTGAGTCGGTGGGCTACCTAACAGGTTGGTCAGTGGGTCAGTGGGCTACCTAACAGGTTGGTCAGTGGGTCAGTAGGCTACCTAACAGGTGGGTCAGTGGGCTACCTAACAGGTGGGTCAGTGGGCTACCTAACAGATGGGTCAGTGGGCTACCTAACAGGTGGGTCAGTGGGTCGGTGGGCTACCTAACAGGTGGGTCAGTGGGCTACCTAACAGGTGGGTCAGTGGGTCAATGGGCCTTAACAGGTGGGTCAGTGGGCTACCTAACAGGTGGGTCAGTGGGCTACCTAACAGGTGGGTCAGTGGGTCAGTGGGTCAGTGAGCTACCTAACAGGTGGGTCAGTGGGCTACCTAACAGGTGGGTCAGTGGGTCAGTAGGCTACCTAAAAGGTGGGTCAGTGGGTCAGTGGGCTACCTAACAGGTGGGTCAGTGGGCTATCTAACAGGTGGTCAGTAGGCTACCCAACAGGTGGGTCAGTGGGCTACCTAACAGGTGGGTCAGTGGGTCGGTGGACTACCTAACAGGTGGGTCAGTGGGTTAGCGGGCTACCTAACAGGTGGGTCAGTGGGCTACCTAACAGGTGGGTCAGTGGGTCAATGGGCTACCTAACAGGTGGGTCAGTGAGCTACCTAACAGGTGGGTCAGTGGGTCAGTGAGCTACCTAACAGGTGGGTCAGTGGGCTAGCCCAACAGGTGGGTCAGTGGGCTACCTAACAGGTGGGTCAGTGGGCTACCTAACAGGTGGGTCAACGGGCTACCTAACAGCTGGGTCAATGGGCTACCCAACAGGTGGGTCAGTGGGTCAGTGGGCTACCTAACAGGTGGTTCAACGGGCTACCTAACAGGTGGGTCAGTGGGCTAGCCAACAGGTGGGTCAGTGGGCTACCTAACAGGTGGATCAGTAGGTAGTGGGCTACCTAACAGGTGGATCAGCGGGCTACCTAACAGGTGGGTCAGTGGGTCAGTGGGCTACTTAACAGGTTGGTCAGTGGGTCAGTGGGCCACCTAACAGGTGGGTCAGTGGGCTACCTAACAGGTGGATCAGCGGGCTACCTAACAGGTGGGTCAGTGGGCTACCTAACAGGTGGGTCAGTGGGCTACCTAACAGGTTGGTCAGTGGGTCAGTGGGCCACCTAACAGGTGGGTCAGTGGGCTACCTAACAGGTGGATCAGTGGGCTACCTAACAGGTGGGTCAGTGGGCTACCTAACAGGTTGGTCAGTGGGTCAGTGGGCCACCTAACAGGTGGGTCAGTGCGTCAGTGGGCTACCCAACAGGTGGGTCAGTGAGTCAGTGGGCTACCTAACAGGTGGGTCAGTGGGTCAGTGGGCTACCTAACAGGTTGGTCAGTGGGTCAGTGGGCTACCTAACAGGTGGGTCAGTGGGTCAGTGGGTCAGTGGGCTACCTAACAGGTGGATCAGCGAGCTACCTAACAGGTCTGTCAGTGGGTCAGGGGGCTACCTAACAGGTGGGTCAGTGGGCTACCTAACAGGTGGGTCAGTGAGCTACCTAACAGGTTGGTCAGTGGGTCAGTGGGCCACCTAACAGGTGGGTCAGTGCGTCAGTGGGCTACCCAACAGGTGGGTCAGTGAGTCAGTGGGTCAGTTGGCTAGCTAACAGGTGGGTCAGTGGGTCAGGGGGCTACCTAACAGGTGGGTCAGTGGGCTACCTAACAGGTGGATCAGTGGGCTACCTAACAGGTTGGTCAGTGGGTCAGTGGGCCACCTAACAGGTGGGTCAGTGCGTCAGTGGGCTACCCAACAGGTGGGTCAGTGAGTCAGTGGGTCAGTGGGCTACCTAACAGGTGGGTCAGTGGGCTACCTAACAGGTGGGTCAGTGGGCTACCTAACAGGTGGGTCAGTGGGCTACCTAACAGGTGGGTCAGTGGGCTACCTAACAGGTGGGTCAGTGGGCTACCTAACAGGTGGGTCAAGGATTTAAAAGCTATCATGTGACTTGCCCTACAGTTGTAGAAAGCAAAAGGTTATTATTCTACGTCTGAAAAAACCCAACATTTTACATGATTACATATTTAGTTGTCTCTTATTCTAAATAAGTTTGTACAAAAACAAAAAAATTGGCTATTTTTATTTTATTTTTTTTTTATTTTAATGTATAATTTGTTGTTTAACATACACAAACGTACATGTGTATCCCACAAATGGTGTTCCTTGTTAAGAGAGCTAACTCTGTTTCTCAATGATCAAACCGTTTTTGCGGCTACTTCCCTTGAATGTGTACAAACCATAAAATGATAGTCAAACAAAAAAAAAAAAACTCGAATTTTCAGCAAAATTGGCCTCGTTAAAAACTTACAAGAAATATTTTTACAGGAACGGCAGCGCCCACTGTGCCGAGATCTCCCTAATGGCACTAGAACTTCTCAAGACGACCAGAGATTTTCCCATACCCCACATGCCGGGCAGGACGGTGGAGCTGAGGATTGGATGTCACTCAGGTCAGTGACACATGTCAGTGTCAGGTGTCACATGTCAGTGTCAGTGTCATATGTAAATGTAAATGTCAGTGTCACTGCTACATGTCAGTGTTACGTGACAGTGTCAATGTTAAATGTCTGTGTTAATGTCATATATTAATTTCACACGTCAGTCTCACATTTCAATGTCATAAGTAAACTGTCAGTTTTACAAGTCGGGTCAGCGTCACATTATTAGCTTTAAGACTAATTTTTTGTGTACTACATTAAGTATACAGTGTTTTTGCGTTGTCTTTTGTGTTTGTGTTAGCATTTGTTTTTTCTCTTGTACTTGTGTTTGGGTTTGCGTGTTGCGCTTGCGTTTGTGTTGCGTTTGTGTTTGTATTTTCGTTTGTGTTTTTGCGTTTGCTTTGTGTTTGTGTTTGTTTTTGTTTTTGTGTTTGCGATTTCTTTTTTGTTGCGTTTGTACTTGTGTTAGTATTTTCGTTTGTGTTTTTTTGCGTTTGCATTGTGTTTGTTTTTGTGTTTGCGTTTTCTTTTGTGTTGTGTTTGTGTTCTCTTTTATGTTTGCGTTGGGTTCGAGTTTGTGTTTGTGTTTAGTTTTGTTCAGTTCCCAAGTTGGTACATTTAAAAAAGATTCACCGAGGCGGAGCACGGGTATGCAGCTAGTTATCTATATATGTCCCTAACCTCCCCCTCACCTCCCCCACCCCTCGTGTGTCCCCAGGGTCAGCTGTAGCGGGTGTGGTCGGCAACAAAATGCCGAGATACTGTTTGTTTGGTGACACCGTCAACACTGCCAGTAGGATGGAGTCACACGGTCTACGTAAGTCAGAGTCACACGGTTTACGTAAGTCAGAGTCACACGGTCTACGTAAGTCAGAGTCACACGGACAACGTAAGTCAGAGTCACACGGTCTACGTAAGTCAGAGTCACGTGACTAAGTCAGAGTCACACGGACTACGTAAGTCAGAGTCACACGGTCTACGTAAGTCAGAGTCACACGGACTACGTAAGTCAGAGTCACACGGTCTACGTAAGTCAGAGTCAAACGGACTAGGTAAGTCAGAGTCACACGGTCTACGTAAGTCAGAGTCACACGGACAACGTAAGTCAGAGTCACACGGTCTACGTAAGTCAGAGTCACACGGACTACGTAAGTCAGAGTCACACGGACTACGTAAGTCAGAGTCACACGGTCTACGTAAGTCAGAGTCAAACGGACTAGGTAAGTCAGAGTCACACGGTCTACGTAAGTCAGAGTCACACGGTCTACGTAAGTCAAAGTCACACGGACAACGTAAGTCAGAGTCACACGGACAATGTAAGTCAGAGTCACACGGTATACGAAAGTCAGAGTCACGTGACTAAATCAGAGTCACACAGTCTACGTTAGTCAGAGTCAAGTGACTAAATCAGGATCACGCTACACAAGTAAGAGAGACTGTCAATAGTAAATTAACACATCATGAACACATCATGAACACATCAGGAACACATCATCAACATGTCATCAACATACACCCACTAATCTATCCCAGTGAACTGCAACCTACTTATCAACCAATCAAAACTCGCAACTGTATCATAGACTCACTTAACAACCAATCAAAACTCTATCATAGACTCATTTAACAACCAATCAAAACTCTACCATAGACTCACTTAACAACCAATCGTATTTGGTCTTCAGCCAACAGAATCCACATCAGTCAGGCCATGAACACTCTGCTGGATCAAATCCAAGGCTTCATCACAGAGAGGAGAGGGATAGTGGACATTAAGGTCAGACAAACACTGGACGGGGGGGGGGGGGGTGATAGTGGATATTAAGGTCAGACACACACTAGACTGGGGGGGGGGGGGGTGATAGTGGATATTAAGGTCAGACACACACTAGACTGGGGGGGGGGGTGATAGTGGACATTAAGGTCAGACACACACTAGACTGGGGGGGGGGGTGATAGTGGACATTAAGGTCAGACACACACTAGACTGGGGGGGGGGGGTGATAGTGGATATTAAGGTCAGACACACACTAGACTGGGGGGGGGGGGGTGATAGTGGATATTAAGGTCAGACACACACTAGACTGGGGGGGGGGGGGTGATAGTGGACATTAAGGTCAGACACACACTAGACTGGGGGGGGGGGTGATAGTGGATATTAAGGTCAGACACACACTAGACTGGGGGGGGGGGGGTGATAGTGGACATTAAGGTCAGACACACACTAGACTGGGGGGGGGGGGGTGATAGTGGACATTAAGGTCAGACACACACTAGACTGGGGGGGGGGTGATAGTGGACATTAAGGTCAGACACACACTAGACTGGGGGGGGGGGGGTGATAGTGGACATTAAGGTCAGACACACACTGGACTAGGGGGGGGGTGATAGTGGACATTAAGGTCAGACACTAACTAGACGGGGTGGGGGTGATAGTGGACATTAAGGTCAGACACACACTAGACTGGGGGGGGGGTGATAGTGGATATTAAGGTCAGACACACACTAGACTGGGGGGGGGGGGGTGATAGTGGACATTAAGGTCAGACACACAGTGGAATGGGGGAAGGGGGAGAGGCATAGTGGATATTAAGGTCAGACACACTGTCTGGGGGGGGGAGAGGCATAGTGGATATTAAGGTCAGACACACAGTGGAATGGGGGAAGGGGGAGAGGCATAGTGGATATTAAGGTCAGGCACAATGGACTAAGGGGGGGGGGGGTGTTAGTGGATATTAAGGTCAGACACACACTAGACTGGTGGCGGGGGGCGGGGGATGATGGTGGACATTAAGGTCAGACACACTGGACTAGGGGGAGGGGGTGTTAGTGGACATTAAGGTCAGACACACTGTCTAGACTGGGGGAGGGGGAGGGGCGGGGGATGATGGTGGACATTAAGGTCAGACACACACTAGACTGGTGGGGGGGGGTGATAGTGGACATTAAGGTCAGACACACACTAGACTGGTGGGGGGGGGCGGGGGATGATGGTGGACATTAAGGTCAGACACATTGTCTAGACTGGGGGGGGGGGGGATGATAGAGGACTTTTAGGTCAGACACACACTAGACTGGGGGGGGGGGTGATAGTGGACATTAAGGTCAGACACACACTAGACTGGTGGGGGGGGGGTGATAGTGGACATTAAGGTCAGACACACACTAGACTGGTGGGGGGGGTGATAGTGGACATTAAGGTCAGACACACACTAGACTGGTGGGGGGGGGCGGGGGATGATGGTGGACATTAAGGTCAGACACATTGTCTAGACTGGGGGGGGGGGGATGATAGAGGACTTTTAGGTCAGACACACTGTGTAAGCGGTAAAGGCGAAATGTAAACGTTTTTATTATAAGCTTTTATTTAACTTGATTCCTCTGTACTCATAGAGCAAAATTGCCGAGCGAAATTTCGAGCACTTCTATCAGCCGATTCGTTTCAAACTTAACACGTTGGTCAAGACCCAATGACAATGCCATCTGACATCAAATTTGACTAAATTCGATGCCTAATTAATAACGGGGGGGGGTGCTACAATTTATAGCCCTATTATATTCACATTTTCATGTTCATTTGGTGCGCAATAGTTTTTAGTCAGGCAACTCCATTGTAACAAGAATTTCTGTCGCCCAAAGGCAAGATCCTGCCAAATTTGAAGCGCCTGCGGCGCCGGGAACTGCCCTATCGGGCACCCGACAACTTTGCTTTATATATTATAGAGATTAGCAAATTGCTTAGTAATTAAGGCCTGAAATACTTTAGTATAGAAATGTATTCTTTGAATAGATTCTCGATCTAGGTAGGGTCTACATCTGTGTAAGTCTAGTTTTTCCGTAGATCTAGATCATCTAGATCTAGATCTAGAATCTCTAGATCTAGATGATCTAGAATCTCTAGATCTAGATGATCTAGAATATCTAGATTTAGAATCATAATAGAAATTTTTTTAAAGGTTAGACCGAGCAAAATTGTTTTGTGTAAATTTTATAGCGTACGTAGATCTAAATAATATTTGAATGAAATATTTCATTTCTTTTTATTCTAAACACGGCAGATGACGCCATTAGTTAATTTATAAACATTAGTGACGTCACTGTTTTTATGCATTCTTTTTCAAAACTATAAACGCTTTTCCTGTTGCATAATTAAAACTGTTTCTCTACATTCGAATACGCCTTTATTTTTTTATTTTTTCTCTTTAAATAAAATTGTGGTTATACATTTAAAACATCTAACATATTATTTTGAACAAAAGTCCGTATAAAGGTATCCATATATCGCTGCCGATTCTGACGTGATGTCCGGCGAAAATATTTTGCGGACAGAGAGAGAGAAGTGCGCACATGGTCTATTATATATTAGGATTTAAAGAAAATCATTTATGTTCTCATATTTATGCAATATCTCATAAAAGCTTGTTATTAAAACATTTTTATGCATTTTTTCAACACTTTCAGGGTAAAGGCGAAATGCTGACCTTTTGGCTGACCGGCACTAGCAGGCCACTGAGATCTTTGGCCAGCAACGGCATGGCCATGCCGGACGTGACAGCAAGCCTGGCCATTCAACATACGGCCAGAGTCTGGGCCAACGGTTCATCAGTAGGCCACAGGGGGGACAGTGACTCGGCTGTCTGACCCACGGGGCCATCAACTGTCTGACCCACGGGAGCCAACAACTGACCCACGGGGCCAACAACTGTCTGACCCACGGGGCCAACAAGTGTCTGACCCACGGGGCTATCAACTGTCTGACCCACGGGGGCCATCAGCTGGCCCACGGGGCTATCAACTGTCTGACCCACGGGGCCATTAACTGTCTGACCCACGGGGCCATCAACTGTCTGACCCACGGGGCCTTCAACTGTCTGACCCACGGGGCCATCAACTGTCTGACCAACGGGGCCATCAACTGTCTGACCCACGGGGCCATCAACTGTCTGACCCACGGGGCCATTAACTGTCTGACCCACGGGGGCCATCAACTGTCTGACCCACGGGGCCATCAACTGTCTGACCCATGGGGCCATCAACTGTCTGACCCATGGGGCCATCAACTGTCTGACCCATGGGGCCATCAACTGTCTGACCCATGGGGCCATCAACTGTCTGACCCACGGGGCCATCAACTGTCACTGAACCATCAACTGTCTGACCCACGGGGCCATCAACTGTCTGACCCACGGGGCTATCAACTGTCTGACCCACGGGGCCATCAACTGTCTGACCCACGGGGCCATCAACTGTCTGACCCACGGGGGCCATCAGCTGACCCACGGGGCCATCAACTGTCTGACCCATGGGGCCATCAACTGTCTGACCCACGGGGGCCATCAGCTGACCCACGGGGCCATCAACTGTCTGAACCATGGGGCCATCAACTGTCTGACCCACGGGGCCAACAACTGTCTGACCCACGGGGCCATCAACTGACCCACGGGGCCATCAACTGACCCACGGGGCCATCAACTGTCTGACCCACGGGGCCATCAACTGCCTGACCCACGGGGCCATCAACTGACCCACGGGGCCATCAACTGTCTGACCCACGGGGGCCAACAACTGTCTGACCCACGGGGCCAACAACTGTCTGACCCACGGGGCCATCAACTGTCTGACCCACGGGGCCATCAACTGTCTGACCCACGGGGCCATCAACTGTCTGACCCACGGGGCCATCAACTGACCCACGGGGCCATCAACTGTCTGACCCACGGGGCCATCAACTGACCCACGGGGCCATCAACTGTCTGACCCACGGGGCCATCAACTGTCTGACCCACGGGGCCATCAACTGCCTGACCCACGGGGCCATCAACTGACCCACGGGGCCATCAACTGACCCACGGGGCCATCAACTGTCTGACCCACGGGGCCATCAACTGCCTGACCCACGGGGCCATCAACTGCCTGACCCACGGGGCCATCAACTGCCTGACCCACGGGGCCATCAACTGCCTGACCCACGGGGCCATCAACTGTCTGACCAACGGGGCCATCAACTGTCTGACCCACGGGGGCCATCAACTGCCTGACCCACGGGGCCATCAACTGCCTGACCCACGGGGCCATCAACTGCCTGACCCACGGGGCCATCAACTGCCTGACCCACGGGGCCATCAACTGTCTGACCCACGGGGCCACCAACTGTCTGACCCACGGGGCCATCAACTGCCTGACCCACGGGGCCATCAACTGCCTGACCCACGGGGCCATCAACTGCCTGACCCACGGGGCCATCAACTGTCTGACCCACGGGGCCACCAACTGTCTGACCCACGGGGCCATCAACTGTCTGACCCACGGGGCCATCAACTGTCTGACCCACGGGGCCATCAACTGTCTGACCCACGGGGCCATTAACTGTCTGACCCACTGGGCCAACAACTGTCTGACCCATGGGGCCATCAACTGTCTGACCCACGGGGCCATCAACTGTCTGACCCATGGGGCCAACAACTGTCTGACCCATGGGGCCATCAACTGTCTGACACACGGGGCCATCAACTGTCTGACCCACGGGGGCCATCAACTGTCTGACCCCCGGGGCCACCAGCGACTCGTCTGATCTGATATTCCGCTCGTCTGCTCTCACGGCCTTACAGGGTTCCAATATGGGTCAGCCAAGTTGCTCTGGGGCTAATTAATGTGACGTGGAGCGTGACACGCAAAGACAACAAACACACCTATCTCGCCATCTTTGGACAACAAACACACCTATCTCGCCATCTTTGGACAACAAACACACCTACACATCTGTTCTACAAAGGCTCTCGTTATGTTGTTAACAGAAAATATATCAACCGTCGATGTTTGTGGAATATTGCCTGCTCCATTTGCCTAAAACTGACTTCAGCTGATAATGTTAAAAATATATTTTCTTGTAATAAAACATCTTCTCGTCGTAAATACAGTTTTTTTTAAAAAATATTTCCCATCAAACATGTAAAATAATTATTGCGTCATTATGCATAATGTCAAGTAGCTTTCATTATTTTGTGATAAGACTTCTTTGAATAATGTTCAAATATGCATCTTAAACTTAACCAAAATGTTTATTTTGTAAAAAAAAAAAGGTTTTGGCAACTGGTTTGTTCCCAGACACTGATAAAAGTATATTTTTTCTATACAAATTCCATTTCGTTCGGGGGGCGGTAGACTTTCTTCGCCCCCCCCCCTAAAGAGATGCCTGGAAGAAACAAAACTGCTCCCCACCTTCTCCCCAACTCCCCCCAACCTCTCCCCAACCTCTCCCCACCTCCTAAATACACAAAGGAGCCGAATGTTCAGATTGTTCAGAACTGTATATATAAATTTATATTTTGTCGATTATTTTCACATTGTTATATTTTTATAAAAGTTCCGTGAAAAATTGTGATTTTTTATCTATACAGTGTGGTATTAAAAATAAACTAATTCAAAACGATTTGTGTATATTTGTACAATACAGAAAATTCATAAAAAACGTTTTAATAACAAGCTTTTATGTAATAATGCACTAAAAAGTAGAAAATAAATTATAGAGTACTATTTAAATTACTATAAAGAAAAGCGTGGGTCACTTTAGTACCGAGTGGATACCTTTACTAATATTTGAGAAGAGACCCACGCTTTTCTTTATAGTTAATTAAATAGTAGTCTATAATTTATTTTCTATTTTTTAGTGCATTATTACATAAAAGCTTGTTATTAAAACGTTTTTTATGAATTTTTTTTCAGTACTTTACATGTTTTATTTACAATAGAGTTACATGACTAAAAACCATTGCGCGCTTACTGAACGTGATGGCGCAGCTATTGAACGTACCGTGATGGCGCAGCTATTGAACGTGATGACGCGTGTGGTGTGGTTGGCTAGACATGCCTACTAATTCGGTCCAAATTTTAATTAATTCATAAAAAATTAATTAGGCATCCAATTAAGTCAAATTTAATTTCAGATTGCATTGTCTTCATGTCTTGACCCACGTGTCAAATGTGAATCGTGTCGGTCAAGTAGAAGTTTCCGAATTTTCACTCCTGCGTTTCGATCTAGACAGACTGACGACTGACGAGGAAGTGAGTTAAATAAAAGCTTGTAAATACAATTAAGTATAAGGCAACATGCTGTGGTCCTCTTAATTTGGCTTGTCTATTTGGGCGTGGGTCAATCGCCCCACCCTACCATCTGCTGCTAACACCCCACCTCCTCAAACCTTGTTCTACACGCTCTGACATACTTTGCAGCCAGAAAGGGGGGGGGGGGGGAAATGAGATCAGCTAAAGGCTGCTGCCACTCTTAATATCAGAGAAGTGTTTGATACTCACACTTGGTGACTGGACAGTGAACACGTCCACACAATCCACCACCTCCACACAATCCACCACCTCCACACAATCCACCACCTTCCCTCCCACACAATCCACCGCCTCCACACAATCCACCACCTCCCCTCCCACACAATCCACCACCTCCACCCTATCTTGCGGCATCCTACATCACCTACACAGTAAGAAGAGCCTACGGTGAAGTAACCTGAGACCTAGGTCAATCTGACCCCAGATAAAATCTGATTGGTTGAAATCTTGAGGGATGCCAGGTCTGTGAGGAGCTGGAGTCTTGAGATCAGACAGGAGCTGGAGTCTTGAGATCAGACAGGTCAGGAGCTGGAGTCTTGAGATCAGACAGGTCAGGAGCTGGAGTCTTGAGATCAGACAGGAGCTGGAGTCTTGAGATCAGACAGGAGCTGGAGTCTTGAGATCAGACAGGTCAGGAGCTGGAGTCTTGAGATCAGACAGGTCAGGAGCTGGAGTCTTGAGATCAGACAGGAGCTGGAGTCTTGAGATCAGACAGGACAGGAGCTGGAGTCTTGAGATCAGACAGGAGCTGGAGTCTTGAGATCAGACAGGTCAGGAGCTGGAGTCTTGAGATCAGACAGGTCAGGAGCTGGAGTCTTGAGATCAGACAGGAGCTGGAGTCTTGAGATCAAACAGGTCATGGACTCTAAAGGTTAGCGTTACATCGAGACGTGTGTGGTGTGGTGTGTTGAAAGTCGGTCACGGCTCAATGTGATAGATCAAATCACGCATTCAGAACCAAATATTGTTCACGATTTGTTCTTGATTGTCGTCTTTGTTGGCTAGTTTTTGTTGATTTATATTTAGTGATTTGTTTTCAACTAAATCAGTCAGTTCGGCGTGCGGTTGAACTTTGCAAAGATTGGCTGATCTAATTTGGTTAATCTTTAAATGTGACGTGCCCTAGAACTGAGACAACACAAAAACGGCGGACTTGAAAAAAAAATAAAACTCGCATTTGTCACATGACCGAGTGATTTGTTTTCGCTCACAACTCCACTGCCCGCACAACAAAATTACACATCGTTCGCCGCTCGGATTTTTCAACACCGTCGGAAATAGAAAATTGATTGATCTCAGTGCCTTTGATGGGTCGGGTGATTGGCAGGTGATTGGCGGGGATGTCAATTTGATTCGTTCAACAGCAGAATTTTTTGGGTAAATCAAAATCATGTTTGAAAACAGTTGATTTCAAGTAATAGTTGAAGCGATCAGGATTCGTTCCCGCAGTTTTGTGTGTGCGTGTATGTGTCCAGAAAAATTTCACTCGCGGTCATTTTTTTAAGCCCTCATCAAGGGCTTAGAGTCCGACCAACATCTATAAAGGTGCATGCAAAAAATTAGCCTGATGTACAGAGGTTAAGTACCCTAAAATATGTGTTGAAATTACCCTGTTTTTCACATAAATTACAAAGATTGAATAGGGAAATACGACTAGTCAGTTTTGACCACTTTACGGAGTTTTCCCAGAAATGGCGAGTTTTTCTGACACTCCTAGGCGTTTTTCTACCTACTCACAAAAATGTTTTGGGTCTAGGCAATACAGTCTGTAACAGTTGGGTTTAAGCAATACGATTTGAAACAAAGGGAGCGAGGCTACATAATTTATAACAATGCGAGCATACAAAGCTCTCTCTTTAATTTTTGCTCTTTTAATAATTTACTTTTTCATTTTACTTTTTATTTTCCTTTTTTTTTCCTTTTTAAATTTTTTTTTTACTTTTTTATTTTACTTTTTCATTTCACTTTTCATTTCTTTTCTTTTCTGCGCTTACAATTCGTTTAGTTCTTATTTCTTTATCAGTGAAGGAAAAGTCCTCCCTCAAGATTCCCTGGGTCTAGCCACGTGATGCACGCCACACCCACCCGTCTCGCTTCCCGCCCGCTAGCCAGTGGGAGAGGGCAATCAATATCTGCTGGTGGTGCTAGTTCGGGACTTCCCGATCACACTCTAGCCAGGAGAGGGGACTCACCATGAGGGGTTGTACATCTCACCTGTAGCCCTCACACACACCGACGCTGCTGAGTACGGCAGTCTTACCTGGATACACACGTGACCTTGAGAAGTTCTATAAATAGATGACTACCACGTGAGTTGATAATCATTTTATTTTGTGTTTTTATCGAATGCGTCCTCTAAAGTTGTTTATTGGCATTTTATTGACATCTTTAACACACTTCACGTTAGTGGAATATATGTGTACGTTTTCCCACCTTATCAATATGTGTACGTTTTCCCACCTTATCAATATGTGTACGTTTTCCCACCTTATCAATATGTGTACGTTTTCCCACCTTATCAATATGTGTACGTTTTCCCACCTTATCAATATGTATACGTTTTCCCACCTTATCAATATGTGTACGTTTTCACGTCATTTAAATGGTACTGGGGGTCAAGTCACATGGTACTGGGGGTCAAGTCACATGGTACTGGGGGTTACTGGGGGTCAAGTCACATGGTACTGGGGGTCACTGGGGGTCAAGTCACATGGCACTGGGGGTCAAGTCACATGGTACTGGGGGTCAAGTCACATGGCACTGGGGGTCAAGTCACATGGTTCTGTGGGTCAAGTCACATGGTACTGGGGGTCAAGTCACATGGTACTGGGGGTCAAGTCACATGGCACTGGGGGTCAAGTCACATGGTACTGGGGGTCAAGTCACATGGTACTGGGGGTCAAGTCACATGGTACTGGGGGTCAAGTCACATGGTTCTGGGGGTCAAGTCACATGCTACTGGGGGTCAAGTCACATGGTACTGGGGGTCAAGTCACATGGTACTGGGGGTCAAGTCACATGGTACTGGGGGTCAAGTCACATGGTACTGGGGGTCAAGTCACATGGTACTGGGGGTCAAGTCACATGGTACTGGGGGTTACTGGGGGTCAAGTCACATGGTACTGGGGGTCACTGGGGGTCAAGTCACATGGTACTGGGGGTCACGTGACGTGGTCAATGTTCCCTCTAATGAGGCTAAAGCTAGTGTGCGAAATGTATTTTCTGTGCGCGCTGTTCTAAAAGTCTTATTCAAGGATATGTTTATCTTACTAAAACACTACGCGGCCGCGCACCCGCGCAGCTTAGAGGGAACATTGGACATGGTACTGGGGGTCAAGTCACATGGTACTGGGGGTCAAGTCACATGGTTCTGGGGGTCAAGTCACATGGTACTGGGGGTCAAGTCACATGGCACTGGGGATCAAGTCACATGGTTCTGTGGGTCAAGTCACATGGTACTGGGGGTCAAGTCACATGGTACTGGGGGTCAAGTCACATGGTTCTGGGGGTCAAGTCACATGGTTCTGGGTGAATGATCACATCCTACTCCCACCCCCTGTGCCAGACGTCACACGACACCTGACGACGCCTCGACAAAATTAGAAATAAATTTTCCGTTTAACGACATTGTTCTTGGTCAAGGACATTTTATTTGCACAAAATGTCCATTTTTCAAATCAAGCAACTATTTCACTTCTGCCAAAGTCCATGTTTCGATACAAGAAAAAAGAATTGCTTACCAAGTGAACGCAAATAATATGTGTATAATAGTGCGGTGTATTAGTAATTTATAAATTCATATGCGTTTTTTGAGAAATCAGAAATAGCGTAAAATAATACTTCCGGTCACCGAAAATGACCAAGTTTGACAATTAACAGAGAATTACATTTTTAACTTATATTTTTAATTTCATCTAGCTATCAGAAACAGTACTCGAGTTATAGGGTTTTGAAAAACTGAAAGTAGAATAAATTCCACTTCCGGTAACCGGAAATCACTAAAAAGTTCATACAGAACTACAAATTTGATATAAACTTACATATGAAATTTCATCAACCTACCTGTAACGTTCACAGCCACACATACATACATACACACACACACAAACACCTACCGACCCCTCCCCCTCCCCACCCTCACACGGAAAAATTTGAAAGCCCGAATTTTCCGACTCGATTACGCGTAAAACGCCGATACATCTGGATTTAGAATTTTTCCCCATTTACATAAGTCCCCTATACTCCGTATGTGATGAAGTACTGAGGTGTAAAACGATGAAAACTGTCAAAATTGCATGTGATTTTTGTGCACGATTACAATACTTCCTCTATACTCAGTATAAGAGAAAGTAAAAAGAATATTAAATCAATAATTTCATTGCGTTGAAAATACGACAACGCTTATTAATTAATACTAGCCGTCGGTACCCGTTACACGTGAATTATACGCCTATATAATTTTAATGTCAAACATGTTTAAGAAAAATATTTTATAAAATAGCCATTTGTCAAAACGCAATGTGCTTTACTACACGTTGAACGATATTAGTGACAAAGCAAAGAAATAACCAAATAGCTAAAAATCCGGCACAATTTTAAGGAACATAGGCTACCAATACCTTTTAGAAAAACCAAATTATATACATTATTAGTCAACACAACACCATATTAAATGAACACACTGATTAAGAAACTTAAATGATTTCGTTAAAAACCCGGCTGTTCAATAATATTTCTATTGTTTTCTTAAAATGTAATTCACATTTCACAGAGTACGTCTCGATAAGTAGATCTATAGATCTAAATCAAATTTGAATGAAATAATTCAATTCTTCATATTCTTAAATTGGAAGATGACACCATTAGTGTTGTGTACTTTCTGTGATATAAACATGTGACATGTGACGTCACTGCTTATTGAGATAGAGAGAGAGAGAGAGAAGTGCTCACATGGGCTTTTATATATTAGGATTAATCTTGATTAATGTTTTTTTAATCGTATGGTTAATTACATTTACCCTTTAATAAATTATTGTATTAGCTAGGTCAGCTCTACCAGTAGTTAGACCATTAATAGGTCTTAAGGTCTTTGGGTTAGGGGTTTTAGGTCACCACTTTAGACCTACGATGTGAAATAACTGTTAATACACTTTAGTTATCTCACACACGAGACGAATCTCATTCTTTCAGAACAGGAGTTGAGAGTTTACTGATTTCTTGACCTACGGGGTGGGGGTGGGGGTGGGTGGGGGTAGGGGGTGTGTGTGTGCTGGGTGTTTTATATTTCCTGTGTTGCCTGTCGTTAACCCCCCCCACACACACACCCATATCTTGACCTATCTGTGTTGCCTGTCGTTAAACCCCCCCCCCTCCCTCATATCTTGACCTACCTGTCACTGGTCAAGAGAGCCTCACGTGCACGTGTAGAAGACCAGGTGTGAGTTATCAGGGAGCTTAAACTCACTGTGAGCTTAGGCGAGAGACCTTGAAGCTCCATCTCACTTGCAGTATGGACCCCCGCCCATCTAACAAGATGGCTGCCAATGCATGTTGGTCGTAAATCGCCATGTGCAAGAACTCAACAAACCACTCGTCTATCGTCTGCTAGGCTGGAGAGTTAAGCCCGCCATCTTCATACAAAATGGATGACATGCCGGCTAGGGTGCAGGGCGAGGGGGGTTGGGGTGGGGGGTTTAAACCCTAGCGCCACGTGACTGATTGGATGATGGCGATGACGTCATTTGAGCCTGTGGGCAATCAACTACCCCAGGTGCCAATAAAATAATTAGCAAAATCATTTTTTTTTTTTTTTTTTTTTTTTTTTTGCGAAAGGTTACTTTGAAAACTTATAAACCAGTCT